TTATATATTAATATAATATTATATATCCATTAACTATAATAGAGGATTATAGATATCGTAGGTATATTATAGAGTATACTTATATTATAACTATACGTATTATATTATAATATACTGCAATGTGTGTGTTTTTTATCTTGCTTTTTTGCCTGGTGGTGTATATATATATATTATATATATATATATATATATTATATAATAATATATACTATGTATGTATTATATATTAATATATATATCAGATAGATAGAAAATAATAAATAATAATAATAGATAATAGATAGATAATAGATAGATAGATATAAATAGATAGTAGATAGATAGATAATAATATAGATAATAGAGAATAGATAGATAATAGATAGGAATAAGATTAATAGAGGTATAATACATGGTTTGCTGGATATGTATATATATATATATTACTATTATACTATATATTAATATATATATAAATATACATACATACATATATATATATATATATAGTAATAAACTATATATATATATACATATTAGTAATATATACTATAATTAATATACATAACTATATTATATATACCATTATATTATATTATATATATACATATCGAGTATACTTATATTATTATACTATATATATATGCATGCGATTGTGGGGTTGTGTGTGATTTGATTAACTGCCTACATAATGTATATATATATTCATATATAACTATTACTATATATTATACTATATATATTATTACACTATATATATATAATAATATATATATTATATATATTTATATAAATATATATATAATAATATATATATATGTATGGTTATAATTGGAATTTATTTTTAATATATATATTATATATAATATATATATATATATATATAGATAATAATTAGATAGATAGATAGATAGATAGATAGATATAGATAATAATTAGATAGATATATAGATTAGAAGATAATATAGATATAGATATACATAAATACTATAATATAGATAGGATACGAATATAATGATTAGTATAGATAGATTAGATAGATCTATAGTCGTCCCTTCTGCTCGCTCATAATACACTTTCCTGCTGCTCAGCCGTTCCCATGAATTTGATATAATTTTTTGTCACTGTATAATTTTTGGTCTGTAATCTTTGTTAATTTACCTTGATAGATGCATTTGATAATTTAGTTTACATATTGTAATAAGTAAGTCATTAAAAGTTGATTAAGGTTTTAAAGTATAAAATATTGTGCCGCATTCCCGCTCACCTCATGCTTCTAGAAGCTTATTCTTTTTAACTATTTCAATTGATGTTTCAATTTGTTTATTTGTGCCTCTCAGGATGTTATACACGATATCCTTACACACGTATTTCATATATATTTATCGTAATTTTTCTGACATTTTTGTGATATTTAACTTTTGTGATTCAACTTTGATATTTCAATTTTATGATGATATGTTTTGTGCTTAAACAAGTCATTTATTGACTACTTGCATTGTTCTATGAACATGTACAAATTGATTTTATTGTATTTGCATTAATTTGCCCTTTATACTTACTTCTTACCCAACATTGTTATCTTTAGTTCTGTCCCAACACGTCATTTCAACAAGGATAATCATAAATGATTTCATTTATTGTATATGCTTGTAAAATGCATAAATTGTTTGTATATATTAAAGTATATTTCTATTTTACAGTTATGATAAGTACGCCCGAAAACGTCTGCAGTTGTCATTAAAGTTGACCAAAAAATTTATGTTTGTTTAGTTTTCACCAAAGATGTGATCTTTGTTCGACGCTAGTTGTGAAATATAAATATATATTTAATATATTAATATATATATATATATATATATATATATATATATATATATATATATATGTGTTGTGTGTGTGTGTGTGTGTGTTGTGTGTGTTGTGTGTTATGTTTGTGTGTGTGTTCTGTGTTGATGTGTGTGCTGTGTATATATATATATATAATATATATATATATATATATATATATATACATATATATATATATATATATATAATATGTATATATATATATATATAATTATATATATATATACATATAATATACACACACACGTATGCATGTATATGCATGTGTGTGTACTATTATAGTAATATATTTATAGTGATATCTATATATATAATATTAGTAATATATATATATATGTATACTATATTTATATATATCATATATATATATATATATATATATATATATAAATAATAATAATTATATACTATAAAATATATATGTGTGTGTGTGTATGTGTGTGTTTTGTGTTTGTGTTTTGTGTGGTTGTTATCATGTGTTGTGTGTTTCTGTGAGAAAAAAAATATTTATAATATATATGAGCGTGAGAATAAAAGAGACAGAGAGACAGACAGACTTTAGCAAAGAGGAGAAAAGGCACGAGCAGCACCAGGCCTATACCCCCCCCCCCCCCCCCCCCCCTTGACATAAATTCACAACCATCGTGTATATTCCGCACTCCATCGAGCTGCTCCCCTTCACAGCTTTCCAGCGACCCCCTCCTTTCACCCCTCCCTTTAGCCCCTCCCATCCCATCCTCTCTCTTGACCTCTCTCACCCCACCCCCCGCACTTCATCTCCCCCCACCCCCCACCCCACCCTTTCTCACCCTCTCGTCCTCACAACCTCCCTCGCTTCGCCAAATTACCATGACAATCACAACAGTAAGAATATGCTTCATTTCCGCCGCGGTGCCGGGCGTATCCCACAAAATCAACAGATAAAAAAGACAAGGAGAGATAGAGAAAGAAAGAGGGAGGGAGAGAAAAGAGAAGATGAGAGAGAGAGTATAGGAGGGAAAGAGAAAGAGAGAGATGAGAGAGGGGTGAGAGAGAAGAGTGAGAGACGAGAGAGAGAGGAGAGAGAGAGAGAGAGAGAGAGAGAGAGAGAGAGAGAGAGAGAAGAGAGAAGAAGAAGAGAGAGAGGAGAAGAGAGAGAGAGAAGAAGAAGAGAAAAGGGAGAGAGAAAGAGAGAAAGAGAGAGAGTGAGAGAGAGAGAGACTGGGGAGATAGATAGACAGATAGATAGATAGAGAGAGAGAGAGTCAGACAGACAGACAGAGAGAGAAAGAAAGAGAGAAAGAAAGACAAACGGACAGACAGAGAGAGAAAGAAGAGAAGAAAAGGACAAACGAGACAGAGAGAGAAAGAAAGAGAGACAACAGACAGAAAAAAAAGGAGAGAAAAGAAAAGAAAAGATAGAGGAGAGAGAGAGGAGGAGTTCAGAAATCCAACCCACGGATGGTGTTCCGTTGCGCTTCTCTCTCGCCGCTGTTATGGTCAGCCATTGTTCTTCCGGGAGTCCCATGACAGCAGTTCTTTTTCTATCTCCCTCTTTATCTGTCTATCTCTCTCTCTATCTATCTGTCTGTCTATCTACCTGGTTTTTATCTATCAATCTCTCTCCCTCTCTTTTAATGAAATTCCGACGATTAAGGAGATAAAAAGAGAATAAAAAAGCAGCGATAACTGGCCATTGTCCTTTTTATTGGGCTTTTTCTTGATGCCACTTTTTGTTATGGCAAGGGAGAAAGAGCGAAAGAGGCAGGGTATGGGAGAAATAAGAGATATATAGATAAAGAGAGAGAAGGATAGATGTGTAGATAAATAGATAAACAGATAGAGAGGGGAGGAGAGAGTCAAAGAGGAGAAGAGGAGAGAGAGGAGACGTAGAGAGAGAGAGAGACGAGACGAAGGAAGAGAAGAAGGAAGCTGAGGAGAAGAGAAAGATGACGGAGAGAGAGAGGAATGAGAGGAAAGAGAGGAGAGAGAGACGCAGCCAGGTAAGATGAGGAGATGAGACGTAAGATTATAGTAGAAAGAGAGATAGAGGTGGATATTCTATTATAGAGAGGGTGAAAGAGAAGGAACAGGAGACAAGATATAGAGGGAGGGTGAACCGGAAGAAGAGAGAGGAAGAAAGAGAGGAGATATGAAGAGAGATAGAGACGAAGATAGAGAAGAAGAGACAGAGAGAGAGAGAGAGAGAGAGAGAGATGATAAGCTAAAGAGAGAGAAGGAGAGAGTAGAAAGAGAGACATACACCAGAAAACAAATGAGAAAAGAGAAGGTATAAACAAAAGATGAGAGAAAAGAGAGAAGATAAGCAGACATGAGAGAGAGAGAACAGAGATGAGGATAACTGAGAGAGAGAGATAGAGAGGGTATAATGAAGAGATGAGGAGAGAGAGAAGTAGAAGAGGAGAAAGAAGAGGATACAGAGTGATAAAAGAGAAGGAGAGAGTGAGAGAAAGAGAACAACACAAGATATGAGAAAAGAGAGAGATAAACAACGAAAGAGAAGAGAGATAAGCAGACATAGAGAGAGAGAGAGGAGAGGAGAGAGAGAGAGAGGGAGAGAGAGAGAGAGAGAGAGAAGAGAAGAGAGAGAGAGAGAGAGGAGAGAGAGAGAGAGAGAAGGACGCACACGAGAGAGCCCCGACTCCCAGCATCCGCAGAGAGCGCCCCCCCCCCCCCCCCTCCCTTCTTCCCCCGAGCATCATTGTAAACACACTCCATCTCCTGCTCCCCGGGAAAAATAAGTTCCCGGTTCTCATTGTGAGTTATGGCGGTTGTTTGCTCTCGTCTCCTTTTGTGTTTGGGCGCTCCATTAAGATTATTCCTCTTTCCGGCTTTGTCGATTGACTGGCGATAATTGGTGAAACAGATAAGGGGGCACCGGAACCTTCTTCAAAAAAGTTTAAGGGGGCTTCCGTCCAAAACAGTGTGGTAATTGGGTTAAATGTTTGTGTTTTGTGGAGGTCGTGTTTCATCGTTGTTCTCGTGTTGTCAGGTTGAGAAATGATTTATTTAGTTTCTGTAAAGATGAATATGATGATAAATCATATATATTAGTATTTTTATCTATTTATTTTTCATTATTATAATAATAATAATAATTATTATTATTATTTTTGCTTCCATCTTTATTTTTCTAAGTGAAAGGGCGCAGAAAGGATAAAAAGCAAATATTCATTTAGGTTTAATTTATTGATGAATATATAACTACATGAGAGAACCCGTTGTTACAGCTGAATCCATCACGAGTGTTCGCAGACACGCCTGCAGATGGCAGCACTTGGGCTAGGAACATAACTGGGCAGAGGGCGGTCAAGGCGCACCCACAACAAGAGGCTCGCGTTGGGAACCATGCAACAAAAAGAATGTATTTTTACGCTTAACAACACCACACAACCGAAAGCAGATCTATGTAATTGTACCAGGGAATACACTTCTATACCTTCTCTAACAAACCGAGAGCCTTCTTTCTCTTTCCAACAAGCAGTAATTGTTGTCGGTGTTTTTAATTTTTTTGTGGGGAATTTTTGTTTTTTTTTGGTCTAACTTGTTCATGCACTTCTAGGTATACCGCATTGCCGAATACAATGGTTTTCTGGCTCTCCCAGGCACTCCTCTTAGCTTGTACTGTGGACAGGAACTCAGTAAGCATCAACCAACAAGATCAACAGCAACATCCAGGCACTTGCATAAATAAATTCCGTGAAAGACGTCTAACATGCCCGTATTTACATATGTACAAGGACCCCGTGACTAGGTATGTACAGGAAGGGGTCCAACTACCACTGCACTGACCACACACAGTCAACAAGAACAGCTTTCCTCCGCCGTCGGGTCACGCAGCGCGCGCTCTAGAAGATCACGGACAAAGGCCTCCGGTAGTCGGCCCCGACGGGGGGGTACTGAGCGTTGGTGTACGAGGCCACCTGCGACGGCTGCAGCAGGCCGGCCATGGTGGAGGGAACGCCCTGGCTCAGGGCTCCGGAGGGCTGGAAGGCCGAGCTGCCTGCTGCTTGGCTGTAGTAGTTGCTGAGGGCGCCCGCGGCCGACCCGTAGCCGCCCATGGAGCCCGGGTTGACGCCGCCCACGCCTGGCGAGGCGCTCTTCATCTCTGTGTCCTTGGGCTCCTGAGCGACCTTGTCCAGGTACGAGGTGGGCTTCTCCAGGCCGTACTTGTCTGACAGATACTTGCTGCTGTCCAGGTACGACTTGGCGGCTTCGTAGCCTCCGACGGCGGACGCGGGCAGCCGCAGCTGCGCCTTGCTGGCATCGCCGTATTTGGGTCGGAGGCGGCGGCGGATCCGTACATGCTCATGGGGTAACCCGAGGCTCCGGTCATGTAGCTGCTGTACTTGGAGGCGTCGTAGCCGTAGCCGACGGGGCTGGCCTGCGACGTCTGTGTGGTGAGCTGCTGTTGGGCGGCAGCTGCAGCTGCGGCGGCGGCGGCCATGTGTGCAGCAGTGATGATGGAGCCGTAGTTAGCTGCGGCGCGCTGGCGGAGAGTAGTAGGGAGACAGCTGGGAGGGGAAACCTGCGGAAGAAGAAAGGCGTCCGTCAGCAACAGAAATCGAGGATCATTTAAGGCTTTTCGGGTTCGAGGACCAACAATGTGTGATGATGATGCCCCGAGAGCCACGAGAGGATGCGGAGTTTAGTGCGAGTGTGTCAGCACGTGTCGGGGAGGAGGGGAGGGGCAGGGGGTCAGTGGTAGAAAGGGTAGCGGAATATGGGAGAGGTTGTAAGATGGGGGGGAGGGGAGGGGAGAGGGGATGCGGAAAGAGATACACGTGCAAGCTGGAAAAGTGGGTGGAGGGGGAGGGGGAGGGGAAGGGGTTCAAAGAGGATGCAAGGTAGAGGGGGAAGGAGGGGATATCCGCCCCACCCCCCTCTTACACCCTCTCCCATCATTCACGGGAGCTGCCACACAATGGAGGGACACTCAGCAGCCTCAGCTCGCGATTGTCTCACGCCGGAGTGTAATTATGGTCTCGCTAATGGAATTAAATAGTTTGCTGCGAGCGGAGGAAGCGACGGCGAGATCCAAAACCAGGGAGGAAGGGGCGGGGAGAGGGGGAGGAGAGGGAAGGAGGGGGGAGAGGGAAGGGGGAGAGGGAAGAGAAGGAGAGGAAAGGGAGGAGGAGAGTGGGAAGAACTAGTGAGAAGGGGGAGATGGCAGGAAGGAGGGAAAGAGATTATCACGTCAACTCTTTACAGAAAGAATAATTGCCTTCAAAATAATAATAATATAATAATAATTAAATAAGATTAAATAAAAAGCAAAAGAGAAAATAAAATAAAACAAACAAAAACGCAATGCAGATTCCAACCCCATATCCTGTTGCAAGTGTGATCTGATGCCAGCAAATGAAATTAGCTTTTGACGGGTCATAATGCATATCAAATCAAATATCGACATTATTATGCAAATACGCTCTTTAAACCTGTCATGAGAGACTGTAATAGAACACGATATAACTGACAGTAAATGCTGACGATTATCTTTCACACCTTTGATGAATACTAAGAATCGATGATATTATTGGTGTTAATAACAATGCTATTAACAAAATCGGCCGTAAATATTTGGAGACAAAGGTATAAATGGTATCAAAATGTAATCGAATAAATGCAATTGAATGCAATCGCAGCTATCAACATCATTGAAAAGACAAATATCGTAATAAAAGCGGGTTTGTCTTGACCTAACTTCCTAACGAAAAATGGAAAATAGTTTTGTTACATATCTATTTTTAAGAAAGGGAGTTTTTCCTCCGTATCAATAATCAAAAACAATTAATACCTATGAATAGAAATCAACGATTATTCACTAAAAAAAATCTAAACAAAAATAGAGGATTCTTGCCCTACCCCTCCCCTTCTCACACCTCTAAGCCAATCCCAAATTTATCGACCACCACCCCCCTTTCCTCCCCTCCCACCCATCACCCCTCCCCTCTCACCCCTCACAGGACGACGATGGCGACGAGTAACCAAATGATCGATATAGACCGCCGGCTGCTTATTGTGGCCTTTCTAATGCTCTCAATCATGACCCTTTGTTCCTCCGTCCGCTTGAAATATTTAGCGCCGTAACACTAACGCCTTAAATACTCCTTCCAAACTTACTCGGGCGCTTGAGTGTGTAAGTGTGAGTGTGAGTAAGTGAGTAAGTGTAAGTGGGTGAGTGAGTGTGTTTAGGAGAGAGAGAGAGAGAGAGAAGAGAGAGAGAGAGAGAGAGAGAGAGAGAGAGAGAGAGAGAGAGAGAGAGAGAGAGAGAGAGAGAGAGAGAGAGAGAGAGAGAGAGAGAGAGAGAATCTGTGTGTGTGCTTGCGTGGAAGGGGGCGTTTGGGTATACGTGTTGTCGAGTGGGGTATACCCGCGGCTGAGAAGGTATTTTGTTTGTGTGTTTACCCCCCCCCCCCCACCTCCTCTCGGATTAAACATTCCCACACCGCGATTAATCAACGGACTTTCATTACAACGTAGCGATATTTCTTTTGGGATCACCGGAAGACTATCGACGATGACAAATACCATCAACAGAAAAAACAACAACAGTAAAAAAAAAAAAAAAAAAAAATACCATAGACGGGCATAAGATCTACCATTGATCGCCATTGATTTAATTTCCGATGCGACTAAAACTCCCCGATCACGGACCAACAATAACAATTATAGCCCATTGTCGGAGCGGACAATACGGCGTTTACTCTTAGCATTGTGGCCGAAGACCCATTCGTTATTCTACACGTATGATGCATGGTGAGGTGATATCGGTGGTTGTTGTTGTCGGCAGGGGGTTGTACGTACGGCGAGGGGGAGAACGGAAAGGGAGGTTGTAGAATGGGGAGGGGGGGGGAGAAAGGAAAGAAGGAAGAGGTGGGGAAGGGTTGTAAAGGGAAGGGGAAGAAGGGAGATGTAGAGAAGGGAGGTTGTAGAAGGGGAAGGGGAAAGAAGGATGGGAAGGGAGGCTGGGATGCGAGGCTGAGAGGTGTCTCAACGCGGTCGAGATGAGGACGTGGGCTGGAACGCGATATGGGGCGGGAGGAGAATTAATGAATGGGGAGACAAAGAGGCGGGGCGATAATTAGCCATGAGTGTCAATCGGATGTTACGAGGACGTAGTAATCAGGGCAATATATTTCCCAGCGAATAGGCGGATTTAAAGCATGGCTCCGAAGTGAGGAATACCTTCAAACTGAAATATAATTAACGTTTGCGCTATAGACTAAAGATCATCGACAAAAAAAAAGTCTAATGAAAAGAATAATGCTCACATCTTTCTATTACTGAAGCAAATACATTTCGTCATTCATAAAGCTAAAACAGAAAGCAGATTGGAAAAGCCTTATAAATAGCCCGGTACAAGAATGGTGCCTGAATGCACAGTGCACTCTCCTGTGCGTGCAGAACACACACGAGCACAATAGAAGGGGCCAGCGGCAAATCCATAAAAATATAGAAATCTGATCGGCGTGAGCGAGCAACGGGCGTGTAACAATGTGTAATGACGCGCCTCGCCGATGGGACGGGCGCACGCAATGAGCAGAGGTCGTGAATAATTAAGGCGCTTCGCCCACCGCAGCCACTTTATACATTTTCCGGACCAACAATTGCACAAGCGACGGAGCGTTATCGAACTCCTTCCACCCATCGCAGCCCCCGCCCCCGCCCCTCCCTCCTCCCCGGCTGTAATTGAAACACCATTACCCAAGACCGCCAACGTTAAGCCACAAAAGAAACAGCCATTGGAACGTGAATTCCTAATCAGGGAGACACACACGAAGGTCCGCTGGAATCGATATCAGCTTGTGTTCGGGAGAGAAAGAGAGACGACGAGAAACATTGTGGAGTCTCTTCCTGCGGTGATCTTGTAAATATGCGTGTGAATATTGTGGTGTGAGTATGTGATGGTGTGTGTGTGTTGTGTGTGTGTATGTGTGTGTTTGTATGTGTGTTTGTATGTGTGTGTGTGTGTGTGTGTGTGTGTGTGTGTATGTGTGTGTGTGTGTGTGTGTGTGTGTGTGTGTGTGTGTGTTTGTATGTGCGTCTGCGTGTTTGTTTTATGTGTGTTTGCTTACTTTTAAAAAATAATCTAAGCCACTATATCATCACGATAAGCGCCTGTCCACGCAGCCACCGGCCGGAGCATCGGCGCCGGAGCGGCCGACGTCGGCGTCCCGCTGGGCAAGCCGCTGTCCGCAGCAACGTAATGCTCGTGTTTGTAGTTTCGATCGCGAAGTAAATGGATGTTCAGCTCATTCTTGTCGGCAATACTCACGAGGCGGACAATGGCTTGGACATGCAACAATACTATAGTCTCTCTTTTGTGGTATTTTGGAAGGACATAACGGCGGTGTTGCGATCACTGGTTGCGAATATTTGCTCTGGACATGTTTTAAATCTCGCTAAAGATTTCCGAACGCCAACACAAACAGTGAAAAGATTGCACGATGTTGACTGAGCGAATGGATCTATATGAGGCCGATAAGTGCATCTTAAGACCGGGTATTATGTTGATGTTACATTCTTTACCCAATTTTCTTTATGGACTGTACAGTGTGTTAATGCATTTTGTTCTCTAAATATTCGTATTCTAAAGAGATAACCAAGTTATTCGATCAACTTTAAAAGCGCTGAACAATAAGACATATAAGAATGAAAACTAATACGTGTGTATATACTGTATTTATGTATAGTTATTATACATCGCCGGTACTTCCTGAATTTCCCTTTCGGATATTTAAATATTAATCCAATTATTTTAGACGGAAGGATCCGAATTGCACTATTATAACTTATTACCCCCTCCCCCCTCCCGGCCTCACAGCCGATCTACAGAGCCCGAAAGAAAAAAGAATCAAAATAAAAATCGCCCAAGGCCACCAGGGCTGACGGCGGCGAAAACGCACCTCCGCGCAGGGGGTCCATGGAGACTGCAGGGTAAGGGATGCTGTAGGGGTAGCCGTCCTTCTTCAGGGTCTTGGGCTTCCTGCGGGGGCGGTACTTGTAGTCGGGGTGGTCCTTCATGTGCTGGGCGCGGAGCCTCTTGGCTTCGTCGATGAAGGGGCGCTTCTCGGCCTCCGTCAGGAGTTTCCATTCAGCTCCTGAAGTTATTGAAGAAAGAAAGATATTATTTAGTCATTATTTACTACTAAACTGTAAAAAATATGCACTCATATGCTACAATATGCATTCATATAAGTTCATGACCCTCAGTTAATCCCATCAGCGTGTTCGCGAACGCCGATCGCCAACTTACCGAGGCGCTTCGAGATCTCCGAGTTGTGCATCTTGGGGTTGTCCTGCGCGATCTTGCGGCGCTGCATGCGCGACCACACCATGAAGGCGTTCATGGGGCGCTTGATGTGGTCCTCCTTGGAGCCGTTCTCCTTCTTCTGGGAGGAGCCGCTTGGGGAGCATCCTGAAGCCGTAGAGTCCGCGGGCGAAGGCGTCGACACGGGGGTGACGAGGGCGGCCTGGCGGAGATGAGGGTTGCTTGCTGTTAGTGCCTGCGGCGGGAGGAACACAGGGCTCAGAACATGCCGCTCATTTACGGGGCAACGAATTTGTTCTGATTTATCATATTAAACAATCTGCGACGCCATCACGTGAAAACTGGCGATACAATCACAATTACCTTCAGAAATTTATTCTATACCAAAATTATACAGCGATTCAGGAATAACTGAGCCGTCTGTATATTCATATCACGTTTTATTTAATAAGTGCTCACCTCAGGTGTGTTCTGCGCAGGTGTGTGAGAGGTGTGGGTTGTCTGCTGATGGGGGTGGCTGGCCTCCGGCTGCTGCGGGGGCTGCTGAGGGGGCTGTTGCTGCCCATGGGGGTTCGTGTGGTGCGAGGGGGGAATCTGCCCCACGCCCATGGCTGCTGCACTCCCGGTGCCAAAGTAATGCCCCATCATGCCGCCCATGGTGCTGGCGTAAGACACGGGCATCGACTCCATCATTGTGGGATCTGCCGGGCAGAGAAAATAAAAGTTAGAACGGGAACCGAGTCTTACCTTGTCGCAACGCCTCCTGAGCCAGTGAGGCCGGCGATTTCCGCCTCCGAATGAGGGCGGCAGTCGTATTTCTTTGAACAGTTTATGCAAGTACAACATAAGAAGGGCCCTGAATGAATTACGGTTGCTGCCTCACAACATCACAAAAGCTCCTCCTGCGTAAACAACTCGAGGCAGATTTATCATGTGGCACATTACTATGTTACTGGCCGTGGTTGACTCTCACATAACTCCCCGTGCACGAGCCCGGTTGCGCGGCCAGTTGCCCTAATGGGCCATTCATCAAGCGTGTTTAGTAATTAGGCTCGTAGTCCTACCAGCGGATAATTGCCAGTGCTGGAAAACCTGGTGGCTTCCGAGGGGCTAATGGCCCCTCAGCACGGGTCGGACTTCCGACCGCACCGCCATTACCACACCACCAAACCTACGTGGCCGTGATATACGTGCGAGCCACTTTCCGATTTGCATACAAACAACTTTACACAGACACAACACTGCACATACACATGGTTGCTGGTCCGTTGGACGGCGCGCAGACGAGCGCTCTGGACTCCTACGATCACGGGTTGTGTTTGCTGCTGCGCACTGCTGAGGATCACGTATGTGCTCTCCTGAGCTAAACACTTCCACTCTGCACTGGATAATTACGGGGTAATCACTGCCGTGAGTGTCGACACAGAAACGACAGTGTGTCTAGCGACGCTGGAGGAAGTATGACCAAGGGCCCTGGCTAACAAATATTTTAAACACTGGACATGGAGTACGGACGGCCTCTGTGACGTCACGCTGTATCCGCCAATAATAATGGGCCCTCAGTAGCCCGCGTGACGTCACGATCCGGCGAGCCAATAACACAGTGGAGGAGTGGTAGGCGGAGCTAACGCCCCCCCGGGGAGTTGGCTCCGCCCTCCAACCAACCCGGCGTATCTGATTGGTCGACGCCTGACCCAACCGCTAAGATCCCGCCGACACCTCGATCTTCGCGAGATACATTTGATAATGCCTTTATTTTCTCTATTATCACGAATTATATTGCTGCTAACGATATATTTTCTTCTGCAAGATGCATTTCAACAAAAATCTTCCCCAATTAAAATCACGTTTCAAATCAGCTATTGCTCGTTTGAGGGAGAAAATTAATCAAATCAATATTATAGAAGAGACAACAATACAATGCCAATATCCGGTCTAGTCTATAATAACCTCACCATGAGGTTATTCACTGCTTTACTTCTTCAGTTCTATCCTAATCTATAGAAACGTGTTATTCATATATTCTAGAACTTATGTTATAGGGATAGATGAAATAAATATTTTATATAAATGTGAGGATGGGCAAGATACAAGAAAGTGGTACGAGGGACCCGGCATATCCGAGCTGGGTAGGGGAGGTAGGAACGGTCGCCGCTCTCAATGGCCAGGCATGGGAAAGAATGGGCCGCTATTCAATAGACATTCTTTAGCTCCGAACACCTGGAAGTCTGGATCGTAAAAGGCCTGAGGCGGTCTCAGATTTACCAGAGGGGAGCTAGAGGCAGCTACTTCCCAGATATTCCCCTGCAGGTCACCCCCTTGCCTGCGCCTTCTACCAACACTACCATTCCCAGTACCAAAGCTACCACGCCAGTCGACCAGGCGCCCCCTGAAGCAGTTCAGCAGAAGAGAACGACCAGCCTCGAGAAAGCAAACAGTTCAAGACCGCAAGCATGGCCCATGGGAGGAGGAGGAGGAGGAGGAGGGGCAGACCACGAAACAAACTTGTTAGCGAAGAACTCCCTCGTGCGTTCCCCCGGCCGAGAGCTCCCGGTGAGAAAGAGCCGAGAGCGGAAGGGCGCCAAAGTGGGATTTTCTCAGCGTTCAATTGTGTTCACCGGCCAGGGAACCCTGATCAGGGAGGGAGAGCACACGGCGGATAAACGGACCGCACGTTGGAGTCACAAATAGCTACAGAATTAATATGCATATTGGACATCACCCTCATCCTCACACCTTAAAAGAAACAACATTTTCAATCTCAAAAAAGAACATCCAGCATGACTATCTCACTTCGCTGGCGTGAGATCCAAACGCGGTCGATATACAAGACATGTGCTGTGTCGCGACGGCAGGTCGGGAGGGAGCAACTGTATCCAAGATTAATGTACTTCCGAAAATCTTTTGTTTGTCCTCCGCGCACACAGGAATGATACGCCAAAGTTGCTGATTTACTGGAATGAAAGTAACGAAAAAAGTGGAAATAACACCTGGGCATTCCACGGGGGAACGCAAGTGGGAATGCACTGAAGTGTTGAATGATCACTTTCGTCATGAGGAGAATTTGACGTCGCGAAAGCAGATTTCTGTATGATGAAAGTCAATGAAAACAGTCTCCCTGTAGCTTCATGGGATTTCATTCGGTTTAGTATGATTATCTGTGATTGTATGATGACTGAGCATGAGTCAGACTAATTTCAGCCTAATTGCTCATGCACATTTACAGTTTAAGTTTAGATTCATTCCTTGCTCATAATACCACACATGTAAACACAATGAAAATACATATTCACACCATGTCTCCTCTCTCTCTCTCTCTCTCTCTCTCTCTCTCTCTCTCTCTCTCTCTCTCTCTCTCTCTCTCTCTCTCTCTCTCTCTCTCTCTCTCCTCTCTCTCTCTCTCTCTCTCTCTCTCTCTCTCTCTCTCTCTCTCTCTCTCTCTCTCTCCCTCCCTCCCTCCCTCCTCCCTCCTTCCTCCTCCATCCATCCATCCCTATCTCTTTCCCTCTCCCTCTCTCCCTCTTTCTCTCATCTTCACAGCATCTCAGTCTCTCTCTCTTTTTTAATCTTTATTACCCACGTCTTTGGCTCAACATGCTGAATCACGAAAAAATGAACAACAACATCCACCTGTCTCTCGGCGCGCGTGATGCAACATGTCGTGACAAGAAGAGTAGACTTATTTTTAAACTCTGCTTTTGCTTGTGCTCTTTCTTCTGCGATGAATGAGTGTCAGGAATATTAATTCTTGGCATTCAGGATCAGGGTAGATTTACGAAAGGAGTCGTGTTAGTGGGAGTTTGTCTTCTCTCTCTCTTTCTCTTTCTCTGCCTGTTTGTCTGTCTCTGTCTCTCTTTCGCTTTCTCTCTGCTTGTTTGTCTCTCTCTGTCTCTCTTTCGCTCTTGCTCTCTCTGTCTCTGTCTCTCTTTCGCTCTCTCTCTCTCTCTCTCTCTCTCTCTCTCTCTCTCTCTCTCTCTTCTCTCTCTCTCTCTCTCTCTCTCTCTCTCTCTCTCTCTCTCTCTCTCGCCCCCCTCTCTCTCTATTTCTCTCTTTTCTCCCTCTCCCCCCCCCCCTATTTCCCCAAAGAACCCAGCATCCCTTTTTTTGACAGTGAGCCTCTAGGACCGAGGAGGAGTTCCTGCGCACAGGTCTCTACTACTCGTCAATAGAAGAACCTCAAAGACACTCAATGCCCCCCCCCCCACCTCCTCAACCTCTCCCCTTCTTTCCTTCCTCCACCCCCCTCCTCCTATCCCTTCCTCGTACATCCCCTTCCTCCCCTTAACCTCCCTTCCCCCTCCACCCCCTCCCTCCCCCCTCTGCTCCCTGATCTCCCCATCTCCTCCTCTCTCCTCCATCCTCTGAAACCCCTCCTCCTCCCTGAACCCTCCACCTTCCTTGCCCTCAGCTTCCGAAACCGAACCCTGCGAGTCCCTTCGCATTCTCCGAAAGCATCTCCTTCGGCGAAACATCAGCCATCGATCCGGGACTTCTCCGCTGATCCGCGCTCCTGCACAGGGATCGAAGGCGATACTGCGCTGAGGAGGAGGCGTTGGGAGGAGAGCCTTACGGGGCGGGACGAGCGAGGATGCTGGACTCGGGTCAGTGGGTGGGGGGCGCTCTCTTTCTCTTCTCTTCCACCCTCCGTTTCTCGGTCTGTTTCTTTTTTTTATTGTTATTCTCTCGTACCAAACATTCTCTTTTTTTTATTTGCTTTGCTCGTCTCTCTCTTTCTCTGTTCCTATCTCTTTTTCTCTCTCTCTCTCTCTCTCTCTCTCTCTCTCTCTCTCTCTCTCTCTCTCTCTCTCTCTCTCTCTCTCTCTCTCTCTCTCTCTCTCTCCCTCCCTCCCTCCCCTCTCCTCCCTCTCTCTCTCTCTATCTATCTATCTATCTATCTCTCATTTCCTCAGTCTCTATTACTCTCCAGTCTACTGTTTTTTCCCTCTGTATCGTTGTCTGTCCTCATGCTTAACTTTAAGTGCAGGTCCCGAGAGTGTGTGAGATTGGTAGCTGGCAATAGCAATGATGGCAGCAGTATTAAAAGTATACCACTATTATCATAATAATTTTAAGATAGGGGTAATAATATTCTCATAAATGCAATAATGATAATGGTATCAACATCAGTATTAATGATGATGAAGGTTTTATCAAGGATAGCACTATAAGAGTAATATCTGTGACATTAGTATTAGTGATAATGATAATTATGGCATTATAAGTGATTGTAGGAATTATTATCAAAAGTAATAATAATGATATTCGTTGGACGGGATATTTACTACTTTCTTGGTCACTTTATACATTTGCAAATATATTCGCTAAATTTTACATGCAATCCTTAGCCATTTATTGTTGCAACAGATTGGTATTGTAGCGTGGTACAATGGCTTTATGAATAAGCTTTCAGAAGCAGGCTAACATATGCACCGAAACGAAATCATAACTTTTGAAATCGTAACTTTTAACATATTTTAAAGATGGATATTACTAGAAAATAAATATTACTCTTCATTCACATTGGGATAGTAGAGCTTTGTACCCAGAACTACGTCCGCATTTAGAGGCGATTCGAAAAATATCATATAATGTTTTGTAACTTTGAGTATGTAAACTACATATTCCGAATTTATAAAAAAAAAGTATGACGGGGATAATAATAAGAGAGAGAGAGAGAAATAAAGAGAAATATATATATATATATATATATATATATATATATATATATATATATATATATATATATAGAGAGAGAGAGAGAGAGAGAGAGAAGAGAGAGAGAGGAGAGAGAGAGAGAGAGAGAAGAGAGGGGGGGGAGGAGAGAGAGAGAGAGAGAGAGAGAGAGAGAGAGAGAGAGAGAGAGAGAGAGAGAGAGAGAGAGAAGAGAGAGAGAGGAGAGAGAGAGAGAGAGAGAGAGAGAGAGGAGAGAGAGGAGGAGAGAGAGAGAGAGAGAGAGAGAGAGAGAGGAGAGAGAGAGAGAGAGAGAGAGAGAGAGAGAGAGAGAGAGAGAGAGATGAAAGGATGGAAGAAGGAGATGGGAGGTCCCGCAGTATGATACAACGGATATATATATATAGTTTATATTTCTTTTATCCTCTCTCTCTCTCTCTTTCATCATTATTTCTTTTTATACGCGATTCTTTCAGCACTTTATCCTCAATCACGAACGTTTACCCGCACTCATCAAATACCCATGCTATGATATTGGGTCTATTGTGCAGAACAACGCTTGCACTCACACACTGGAATCGGTTCAGATCTAGAGCGTATTCAGCGAAGAAAGAAATATCAAATAGTAATAAAGTGGTCTACACGCGAGCGAAGGAAGTGGACGGTAAATGATGAAAGTGTAATATGAATAAAGTATCGTTTTTGCTTTTCTTATATATATGTACATGGCAAATGATCTAGCTTTTCTGGCAAAAGAAAAGATAATGCACATAGCAAAATTCTCGGCAC